GGGTGGGAATGCTTGGCCAGCAAGGAATTCCTGCGAATTGGTGATGGTCGAGCAAAAGAGCATCGATTTGGGGTATTTTTGGAGATATTTACAACGCGTCGGCTGGGGGCGCAGGAAGACGCCTGGTGGGATATTCGCGTAATGGGGAAAGGCGGGAAGGCGGGAAGGCAGAAAGTGGCGGGGAGGGGCCAGGAGCAACATAGTGAGACGTGAATAGAGAGCGTGCGTGTATGCATGTATGCGCGCAATGGCAATGGCAAGGGAAGAGGGGGGGGGTAGTGAGGCAGATAGAAACCGAGTCGCGTCAAGACACGCGGTACACGGTCAGAAGTGGGTTGGCAGCAAAGAGCCAGGCTGCGTGAGGGGGGGAGGAAACAATGGAAAGAGCGAACTGGCGCGAGGAAGGAAGAGACGCGATTCGTACCTTTGCTGCTGTTGCTCTGTTGCTGCGAATTGTTGGCTGATAACGTGCGCAACAAAGGTTGGCCGGCGGGCTGGCTGTTGTCTGGTCTCGCTCTCTTGTATCTGGAGAGAAATAGAGAGGGGTGAGGCTGCAGCGCGACTGGATGCGATGCGCCGGTGGTGTCGCAGTGCGGTACAAGTGCGAGTGCGGTGCGCGCGTTGCGATGATTCGAAGTCGAGAGTGGGCGTTTGCTCTGAGTTCAGGGCTCTCTGTCTCTATCTTTCTCTTGTCGGTCGGGTCGAACCAAACACAGACAAAGGTCGAGGGAAAGGGTAAGGTGCTGTTGGTGTCGTGCTGGGGCCACCAATGATGAGGTTCAAATGGTGAAGCGAGGACGTGAGTACAGCGAATTGCTGCGCTTTGCTTCGCTGGATGACTTCTTCGTCGATGGTTGGCCAATAAGTATGGGTGAGAGAAGGAGGAGAAGGTGATTTGACCAAAGCTGGCGGGGGCCTTGGAAGAAGTTTGTGGGAGCCGGAGCCAGAGAAAGAGCCTGAAGCCTGCCTGCCTGTCTCTTGCCCTGTGCGCTAATGGGCCAGTGCACCATGACGCTGACTCCACTATGGCTCCATTATGGATCCATATTTCGTCTCCACTCCTCCCAGCCACCACTCGTCGCTTCCCTCACTCATTCAGTCAGTCAGTCCCTTTCTCCTCTCTGCCCCCCCCCCACTCGTGCCGGCGCCCTCTGCTCCCTCTCCCCCCCCCCGGTGCACTCACTCGTTTGCCCGCCAGTCGTCGGAGCTTCTTTTCTGTCGTACCCAATGACCAGCCATCGTCACCAGCCAGCCTGCCCAACGAAGCCAGCTCGAGCGTAACCGCAGGGCTGAAGTCGTGTTACCGGCTCGACTGGTGGTACCCTACTGCCTGCCCATGACTAGGTGTTACTTGCTCTCTTACTTCGCCATCTCTAGTCTGTTTTCTCTCTCATCATCTCACGGTCTCTCGGCTCCCAAAATATCCCTCCTTCGGGCTGGCTGGTTATTTCCAGTCTTTGACCGACAATCACGCCAAATGAACAAGAGTATCAGGCACCAAGCAACTGCGCAGCCAGATCAGACGCTCGACAGACGACGCAAACCAGGCTAGCCCGCATTCCGACGTGTCGCCCATTCGCCTCCGCCGAGGCGGTGTCTGCCTCCTGCTGCTTGCTCCGAGTCACCGACTGCCAACTCGGGCCCGCCTTACGTCTCGACCTGCCTCTGCGTCCCACTCCCCAAAGGGCGGTGTGCTCATCCCAAGCCTTCTGTTTCGTGCCTACAGCAGACACAGAGCTCCGACGTGCAGCTGTGTATTGGTCAAGGCCGCCCAACCCAGCCTGCCTGCCTGCCTGCCTGCCTATCTATCTATCTGTGACGCGTTGCTCGACTCCCAGCCTGACTGACTGACTACCCCCCCTCCAAGCCTGAAATAAGAAACCCCAAAAGTAAGATCCTTTGCTGCTTTGGTTTCTGTGCCTCCGTCCGAAGCACGGTAAGCCGAGAGCTGCGGCAAAATCTTACGTCAGGTGCGGAGCTCCCTCTTCTTACCTGCACCGCCAGACCCTGCGCCAGGGTCTCGAGGGCAGCGCTCACGTGTTTGGTCCTGGCACGCCCGGTTTCGGGCTTCCTGATCGACTTCTGGCGCATTATTCACAGCGCGTCATGTTCAGTCAGCCCATCCGAAGTAATCTCACGTCCGCGGACTCGGGCCCAGCTTCCGGACCTTGGCCATTCTGCCGTCGTTTCGAGTGTGTGTGTGTGTGTGTGTCTCTCTCTCTCTCTCGTTATTGTTGCTGTTGTTGCTTTTGCTGTTTCCCGACACCTCGTTCGTGTCGCTCGCATCATGCCGGGCCAGCGCCCCAAACTCTCGAGCGCGGCTCGATTTCAACCCTACGTCTCTTGGGCTCAATGCTTGCTTGCTTGGGTGCATGATTCGAAGGTCCGGGGGTAGGTCCACAATATCGTCGTATCCCACGTCGCGCCCCCGGGGGGCTGGTTCGCTTGCCAATTCAGCCCTCTGCCAGCTTCTGGTTTGCCAGAACTCTCCGAACAGACGAGCAAATGAACGTCGAGCGCCGGCCAATTGCCCTTCCCTATTTGCGTGCTCCCGAGCACCAGCATTGGGCGCGCGCGCCTGGGCCATACGAATGCTTCCCGTGAGCCATTCGTCCCCCTAAGGTGCCTTTAACGCAACGCCCATGTGGGAAAGGGGGGGGGAGGCTCTGTAGCTTATTATCCCGGTTCCTGGCGCGTAGGAGGGAGGGAGGCCCGTTGTCTGGCCTATGACGGCTGGTTTCGCAACGTGATGTCTCGGGAAGCTCGTGTCAAATCACGATGCCTTGCCCCTCTGCGGCGGCGTGAAAAGCCAAGTAGAGCGCTGTCAAACTTGGGATTGGCGGCTCCATGAGGCTTGGTTTGACAGCTGACCGATTTAACGTCTGAGCCTATCAGCAGACATGATCGTTTTCGGCTGGCGCCGACTTAGATTGGTGATGATCATGATTGATGTATGTGATGAGAACTTTCAGCCTCTGGGTCTCCTTCCTGCCGTCTTGGTCTTCGGCCATCATCTGGATCGTGCTTGCCGCTGAGCCAGCGTCTGGCGCATCAAGCAACACGACAAGTGACCATGAGCCTGTTTGTGTCCTGTTTCCGACGCTTGGCCTCGGGAGTGCGATGCCGGGCATTCCGAGGTCCGTTCACGTTGGATATCTTACTTTGCTAGTCCCCCATTTTCCCTTCGGGGAGAAGGGCGGATCACAGCCGTGGCGTCGTGTCGAATTCGGTCCGTTCGTCCTTGCTTTGTCCCCTTTTCTTCGACAGCATGAAGCGTTTGCGGTAAATGAGGTCGGTTCATGGTGAAGCCGTGCCGAGGATGGATGATCTGCTCGTGACTCGGCTTGTTTGGCTTTGACGTGTGTGAGCTGCGCCTGCGAATCACTTGCCAAGGCCGCGAAGATTCCACGGAGGCGAAGAGGCAGAATACAGCAGTTGATATTCGAGTCTTGTGCTTTTGGTACATGAATTTGCCAAAGCAAGGCTATGCACGCCTGTACAGGGCCCAGCATCTCCTGGTAGATGGGCTTCGGGTGATTCGAATCAGATGTATTAAGGTTTTGGAAAGTGGTTGAAACGGTTACTCGGGTTGACGTCTTCGGTGAGATGGTCGCCTCGTGGAATATGCCGAGTCCCTCAAGCCTTCTTGACCAAGCTCAGTTGTACACTTCATTTCTGTGTGCCTTTTCCTCTGTAGTAATTATGATCGTGTATTTGCCATGTTGTTGCATGTTGTAAGCCATCTTTCTCCCGAATCGGCGTTTACTCTACCGCAGTATCGCCTGCCACGCAGAGGGCAAGGTCACAATATGGCGTAACAGTATTTGCCGGTGCAAGATACTTAGGACAGGTGACAGCCATGCTCCGGGCGATGACGAGGCATACAATCATCAATAACGTGGGCATATAGGGAATGGCATCAGAACCAGGTTGAGGAATTCCTTCTTCATCGAGTTGACCCCCAGACGTGGGCTTCGATAAGGTCTGGTTTACCTTCACGGCTCACAATGGTATACACAACCACAACGCATGCCAAACCTCAGTAGCTTCGGCGACTCGGTTGAAATGCGTAGCAGACCTTGGCTTAGCAAGAGGACCAACAGCGAAGAGGTCTTGGGTCTTGGATCTTGTGTTGTGGCTCGCAGGCAGTGAGCACCAGAGCGATACATGGCGCCACAGAGCATCAGGACGAATGAGGGACAATGAGTCGATGATTTGGTGAGCTATCAGACTACCTAGGTGTACTGCATTGGTCCTGTTTCCCTGTGTTCGGTTGATAGCAAAGCAAACATGGAGGAAGGAGCCGCCCCTGATACTCGGCGACAACAGCACTCCTTCCCCGGCACTGTTCTTTCTCCTTGAGCGCAGTAATGCCTGCCTCGAAAGACCACGATGTTGCCGTCAGTGGCCTTTATTCGAGCGCCCCTCTGTCTTGCATCTTTCGTCCCTGGACCGTCATGGTAGCCACGTAGACGTACGGGGTGAATGGTTATCGACGCAGGCTGCTACCATGCGGCCAGTCAGGACGACAAGCCAGACGCTGCCATGCGAGGCATACCGTACGCAGAGTTGAGCGACTTCGACGCACCCGCACCCTGATCCATCAAGTTGGATGCCTTGTTGGCGCTTGCAGCAACAACAGACGCCATGCCGGACTGCCAACGCCAATGTCAAAGGAATCAGATCCTCGACACAGCCATGCTACTGGTTTGACCAAGCCGTCCCCGACCACGATCAGGACCGCATGCCTGCCTCTTCCACATCTGCACTCGCCAGTCTGCCCTATCAAATCGAGGCCGGCGCTTGTTGGTACAGACACTGCATCACTTCCTCCAAAGGAAGCCAGTCGCCGTCGTGCCTTGCTTGAGGCGCAGGGAGAAGACCGCCGCAGTGAGATCTTTGGCACAGAGAGGACAGCTGCGAGCAAGGGCCAGTACGTTTGTGCTGAGCCCCGGACGAGCATGGCGGCGTGCAGTCGACCGCGCGAAGGATCGCACTTGAGGGGATGGTCAGCGAATGAAGGACTGCTTGACAACGGTTTGTGCTGGTCTGGGCGGCGCTTATCAAAAACTTTTGGCGGCTCCAGATCGCCGGGCCAGTTGTCGTCGTAGCCAGGGAAGGCACGAACGCTAGATCTCGACGACTGGCAGGCTTCTACAACACAGCGCCACGTCCGTCGGGAAGGGGGATGAGAAGCCGTCGTTGGACAACGACGTTGAAGCCAGAAGGAAGAGGGCTGCAGGTGGCCGTCGTCGTGGCCTTCCCCCTACCTCCCCAACAGGCGCGCGGATGTGGAGCTCGATCGAGTCGCAACAGGGTGACAGCAGAGAGCGGGAGAGCTGCAGTGCATCACTGCCAATAGCCATGAGGTCGCTGGCCCTGGCCGCTGCACACCTTCGGATGGCGCGCGCTCTCGATCTCGACAGGCTTCTGTCGACGGCATACGATTGGAAAAGACATGGCTCTCTGCTCACGGACGAACCTGAGCGCTTGACGACGCAAAACGGCAGCCATTTCCTCGCTCGGCCGTAACAGACACCGATACGCCTACGAAGCCGCGCGCTCTGTGAAGCAGCAGCAGGCCCGGAAAGGCCTGAGATGAGGGTCGAAGCAGAAGCAGGCAAGGCGCGCGCACACACACACACACACACACCCAGGACGAAAGCATATGAATCACGTCGGCCCCCGTCAGTTCAGGTTGGT